TTACGACAAGTATAGTCGCCTTTTACGGCAAGCATGGGCTGCTGAAGACCTATTCTACCCCGGATCTTCACGGGTCTTATCAAATGGAAGATTATGCAGATTCCAAACATTGTTTCATATCCAATAGAAATCTCTACACAAAGCAAAGTCGATTGTACGATTCCGACTATATCATGAGCATGTGTTTATGGGTCACTATCAAATAGTAATGATACCAGGAGTTTGCGAAAAGGTGAGCATACACTGCCACACCGGTGGCACCCGTCACAAACACATGCACAGGCAAGTCAATTGTTTACCTGAAAAAACACGGGTACAAGTCAAAATAGGGAATTGCATCGGACATCATTTTTGTCACTGATGCGTCTAATCTGTCCTCCATATGTTTGCCATAAAACGTTTTGAAAGCTTTACTGAGGCCTTAAATGTTTTGAGCAAAAGTCGTATGGCGCTCTTTGGAATCTTGGTGGAAAGAGCATGCTCGATTGTATCTCAAAAGTTGTAAAATGTAAACACCAAAGACTGGTACTGCTAGAATATTGCTCGACATAAAACACTTGTAATCAATACATTAAATGTACAAATGATAGCAGTCGGTCACAAGTCAAATAACTTTTATAAACCCTTTGTGGCGATACATCAAAGGTACAAATTACAAAAATCGGACTCAAGTTAAATATTTTACCTCAAACACTTGTGATCAATACATCAAATGTACACATTATAGCAATCCGACACAAGTTAAGTAACACCCTTGTGTCAATACATCAAATGTACAATTCATAGCAATTGGACACAAGTTTAATATCTTACCTAAAACACTTGTGATCAATACATTAAATGTGCAAATTATAGCAATCTGACATAAGTCAAATATCTTACGCAAAAAAACCTTTGTCTTGTAAACAACTATCATTTGATAACTTGAATCAAGGATGGCTTTTGGGTCACACAGAGCCAGGTAGCATTTGTATTGACAGTGTGATGTGTTTTAATAGTTGTAGTCTGTTGTTGGAGCAAATACATACCGCACTGGAAATCTCGACTTAGAAACAATTAGTGAATCCTGCAATATGCAATATGAAATGTCAGCAATGTGCCATCTGCGATGTGCATACAATGAACCACTCTGCAGTTAAATGAGTTGGGTTTAACGCAGCTTTGAGCAGTATTCCAGTTGCATCACAGAGCACTCCCTAGGCGTTTTATGACTGACAGATAACTGAGCCTATCCTATATAATTTGTTCATAAGACGCACACAGGATCCCCTAATGTTATAAGAGTATATACATGATGCCCCAATGGTCTTTTATTGAATGTTGAATTAATTATCCAAAATAACTTGTGGATCCCTTTCTTCATCAGTCATACAGTGTTAGAGGGAAGAATGTTTCACAGACGAATTTCCTTCCTTCAGGCCTATAGATTAATTTTGATAGTTTAACAGTATGAAGAAAAAGGTGCCTTGTTTCAAAATACTTTTTTGTTCTGTTAACATCTCCGTGCTGAATATATGTTGCAGGCATCTCATAAACATTATTCAACTTTTCTATTCCACGAAAGACAGTCGGAAATATAATCTCAAGATATAGGTTGAATTTTGAAAAATGTTCCATGTAATACAAAAAGTCATCTTTGTATTGTTCAGGAACGTAGGCAATGTCTGATGCACCGATAAAGAAACCATCTTCCAATCCGGAATTGTTCAAAAGTATTTCTGTGAATAAGGTATATCTGTGTGCATCTACAAATTTTAAAGCTTCAAGGGCAGCCTTGTAAGTTTTCAAACCAACCTTGGGATTTTTAAGACGATCCCATGTTATTGGTTCAGACTGTTGTACAACACTCGAGCGGTAAACCCAGAGTTTGTTAAGAGGAGATGAATGTTCCACACATTTAGCAACACGTCATCGCTAATGTACAGATATCCATCAACTCTAAACTGCATTTTCATTGCTTGTATCAAACAGTTATGACCAAACCACCCATCACCAATATCAAGCTCTATGAAGGACAAAGGTTTGTGTAAGAGTTTAGCATGTGCGTCAAATTGATCTTTGTTGGTTCCACAGTAGACAATATGCGGGAAATGCAAGCTATACATCATCTCAAGAAATGCGAGGTTCTCATAGTGGGGCCAGTTAAAGACAACGATCAAAAGAAGACTAGGATATGTAATGGGTTTCAGTTTATATGTGCTAAATGATTGATTACTGCAATATGAAACTATTTGACTAATGTGTGACACAAACGCAGGTGATTCCTTATCTGTGGAAAATATCATGGGTCGTGTCTGTTCAGGTGCCCAGAATGTGACATTGACCTGTTGGTCAGTCAAATAAGTTTGATTAGGCAATTTCAAATCATTCGTGACCTGTGCACTGTCATTAAGCAAACCAAATGGAATTCTTTCTGGTTCCTTGTAACCTAGAGTATTTAAATCCTTGATCCAGAGAGAAGTCAGACGTACATCCCGTTCCTCCCAAAATTGCTAATGCTCCATGTCAGTTGATAGTTTAGCCATACATACAAAGAATGTCTTATCTGCTCCACATCTCCATTTGGACAGGAAATCAACGAGGCGTTCTGTCTGGAAATATAGGTCCTTCTCATTCACAGCATCTTTCATATAGGAGTGGGAGTTCCTCTTCTGGAAAGCATTTGGTGGGAAGAATCCTAAGTTTCCTCCCATCTCCCACAGAAGTCTCTGAGCCCAGTAGCCTCTCCAGATGTCACACACTCGGAACGTTGTTGTAGTTGGAATCAGGACTGCCCACAATGCATCATAAAGGAAAAGAGTATTCTGAGAATTAAAGGGTGAGAACACCCCAGCTGGAACAATTGCTGGTGGAGCCCGGTCATCAAAGGTCACATTTAGCTGAGAATGGGTTTGTTTTCGGGTCAGTCTGAAAATGGCATCCATATCCGGATCACCATTGACCACACCCTGCTGAATAGACGGGGTTTTCCAGTGATTTAACTGATATTTGATTGTAATTGGTTCTCCTACAGAACCAAGTGGGTAGCCTCTTGGCCACAGTGTTGGCTGTCCAAAATGGCGGTAAGGGTTGAAGAGCTTCTCCCCTTTATATAGGAGTCCCCACATTGTTGGATCCAGAACAAACTGTTTCAGAGATTGGAGTGGATGGTTGTCGTCATCAGTTTCATAAATGATTTTTGCACCATGGGCTATTGAAAACAGATATCCCACTGTCTTTCTGGCGTAACTCTTCTCGGGAAGAAGAGACACTGTGTCAAAATCCAGTTGACGCTGATCTTCTATACTTAAATATACAGAGTTTGGGTACCTGGAATATTGAAATGCTTTATTGAGTACGACATTGGTTCAATGAGTCATAATACGTATATTCATTACCGACATGCTAATTACAGCAATCTAATTGGCTAATGTAGTAACATATGTGTGCGTTGTTGTCTTCAAATGATGAAGGCTATTTGCATACTTTGGAACTTATTTAGTTGCTAAGCGTCTCAGGCATTTTCTCTTCTACACAGGACGTAATGACATGTCGTGTAAGGTACCGCAAGTGGCTACGCAGAGTTGCGTCCTCGGGTGTGCCAGAAGCCTATGATAGTGAGTTTGAGTCCCTGTTCTCTCCGGCTATGTATCCAGGTTTCACCAAAGTGGCAAACGTCTATAGTGCGCATCACTTTTCTCTGACATGATGCTGTTCAAAGCGACATTAAGTCAACCTCACTCACTCACTCTACACAGAACACAGAAAGCAGAGTCGGGAAACCTAAGCAGAAATTCTACCATGGATTTAAAAGAGATTGGTTTTCTATTTGGTTACTCTGATTGAAAAAATTAGTTTGCCCACCGCATCACGCTGAACGCTGGGATTAAATGAAAGGTACTTCTTCCTCAACCAATGTGGACAGGCATTTTGAAAGAATGTTAAAACATGATAATAAGTTATAAGATGCAGAGTTGCGGTAATTACAATATTCACAATATAGGGCAAATCTATAAATTCAACCAAGAGAGTGTATTTAAACCTTTTTTTATCGACAACAGAGAGCTTCAAAATTTTGTGTTTTTCTATGTGTGACTGAGACGTCAATTACCTTGCGCCACAGCTAAACTTTGGAAGGCTTGATTATTTTTCTTCAGGGTTTTTTACTTCATATTCTCTTACAAAATAGCTGAACTACACATTTTGCTTTGAAGTCATGTTATATAGAGAATCTCACCCTCGTGTCTTGATTTCAAATATATAAACACAAGTTGATAAAAGTGGAAAAAACTCCGGGGCTTACCGAGGAGTCTTTCCACTTTTATCAACGAGATTTGATATATGTGATATCATAAGACACGAGGGTGAGATTATATTTACCATCCAACACCATTCTTTAATCTTTTTCAGTTTGCTGACAGTAATAAGCAGTGTAAAACGTAGACTAACAGCTTCAGTAGCAGAGACATTAGTGATGTTATTGATTGTGACGTCATGGTAACAATGATGTCACAATAGTCTGCAAAGCATTGTAATGCAATTTCATTGCAGCAATATCTAGAATGTAGATATCGCTTCATCCCACCCAAGCGACAGCTCCTGTGGGAGCCAGTTTTGGATTATAAAAATAATAATAATAATAATAGATGCCCTGCTTTGGCACAAACACAGTATCTGAAGCGACAAGATGGAATGGCTAAATAATTTTATTACCGTCATCGCAATGCTTGTGGTTTTGACACAGAGGTCCATCCATGGTACGACCCGGAATATGTAGAGGTGATCATGGAACATGATAAATACGAAATTCATTGGAATAGGCCCGTATACAGCCTCAGACCTGACCTTGTCCTTTTTGATAAGCCAATGAAACCATTTATATCATTGAATTTTCTGTCCCTATTGACTCTATTGTGATTGACAAGATTGAGGAAAAACATGGGAAATATCGCTTTCGAAATGACATGCTTGTATCCCAAGTACCAAGCTGTCCGACTCCCCATTGTTCTCGGTGCCTTTGGTTTGGTACCTCCCAATCTGTTGACTGACATTGAGAGAGTACCCGGGTTTGCTACCAGGAATACTTCTGACAATCTGGGTAATGCAGAAGGCTGCAGTGTTGGGATGTCCTCACATTATCCGAAAAGTTCTTGGTTGGTTTGACAAGGCAGAGCTTCCTGGGAGAAATCCCATTCGCTGTCTAGGGTTGCCATACCCCAACGTAATGTAGAGAATATTAAAGTATACTGATTGTATTATGAAGTATAACAATTAAATTTTTAGGGGCATACATGATAGAAATAAGCCTTGAGAAATGTTCACTTCTCTTGAGAAAAAGAAGGCACAGATTATCGTTTACAGGATGTACATGGTACAAAAAAACATGGAACAAACAATAAGGAAAAAATGAGGCAATAATCTATGTTATTTCCGCTCGTTCAAAAGCAATGCCAGATGTATAGCAATTTTAATTTTGTGCAAGTATCTTTGACTTCAAATATGAAAAAATACAATGTGATAAAAAAGGTAACATGCTTATAATGGAAGTTGAGATTATTGACTATAAACTTGGTATTAATATCATATGGACCCAACCATGATGATCCTGATCTCTAGGATGAAATTGACAACACTATAGATCTTCGACAAGTGATCACATTATCCTGTGTGGGGATTGGAATATCATTCAAAACTACTCGCTAGATATGTATAACTATGAAAATGTAAATCACCCGAAAGCACGAGAAGGGGGACGGAAAGGTAAATCTGAAATAGCCTTAGTAGACGCTGGTAGGGGACTGAACCCGTTTGCTAATCGATACACATGGAGACAACCCACCCTTCCTTAAAGCTCGATTCGACTCTTTTCTTGTATCTCATCATTATCCAATATCTTTGAAATTTTGACTCCGAATTGCAGCGAAGGAACGGTTTTTGGAAATTTAACGATTCACTTCTCAAAGACAAAAAGTACGTTTAGTTAGTAAAATAAATTATTAAGGAAACTATTAAACAGTCGAGAAAGGTAAAGAAGGGAACTTCTCAATGAACGACCTTCTCCTATGGGACATGATCATACCACTGATCCGGGGTTAAACTAAACAATATTCATCGTATTAGAAAAGAACACGTGAAACTTTGGAAATGAACATAAAACATAAATTAAACAACAAAGTGAGGAAATGGTGTCATCGATACCAGACTGACAATGTTTAGAATCTCTCATTAAGGAATTAGAAGAAATAATTAAAATTGGAACTCAGGGAATAACGGTTAGATGTAAGGCAACATGAATGGAACATGGCGAAAAAACATCCAAATATTATCTTAGTTTAGAATCTAGAAACTACCTCAATAAATCGATAAATTGAATGGAAGAAAACCAAGGTTATATTTATAGAACAAAGGAGTAAGAAGGTTAAATGGTAAACTCTACTCTGAACATGACGTGTCAAGTATTCAGTCAACTTAAAGTTCCAAAACTATCTGATGAGTTGTCTCACAAAGTTGAAGGAGAACTCGTCACGAATTGTGATGAAGTCCTCGGCGCGAAGCAGTTAAATTTGTGAAAAATGAGAAAAGTCCAGGACTGGATTGATTTACTGCGGAATTCTGAAAATTCTTCTGGAATGGTATTAGTAAACATTTAATAAGATATTTCAGTTTTGTATAACAACCTGGGTGAATAATTCATCTCACAAAAACGAGCAACCCATGCTTGCCGCAAATTGCGTTTGTGCTTGTCGTTAGAGGCGACTAACGGGATCGGGTGGTCAGGTTCGCTGACTTGGTTGATGCATGTCATCGTATCCCATATGCGTAGAATATTGCTGAGTGCGACGTTAAATAACAAACAAACAAACACAAAAAGAGGACTAATTACCCGTGTACCTAAATGTAATAAACCAAAACAATATCCAAAAACTTGGCGTCACATATCATTATTATCGGTGTTCTACAAGGTTGCTTCTATAGCCATATCACGTGGTATACAATCTGTGATAGATATACGTATTAAGAAAGATCAGAAGGGTTTAATGGCTGGACTATACATTGGGGAAATAAGAAGACAGATATTCAGAACAGAACAGAACAGAACAGAACAGAACACAACACAACACAACACAACACAACACAACAGAATTTATATTGATAATAATGCGAGGGCAAATACCTTATCCTTAAGTTATTATAAGCTGGACATATAAATAGTGCATGGTATTCATCATCTAAGTCTTCTTTACAGAAAGTGCATAGACTGTCAGCAAAGTCATGGTCACTAGACTAGACTAGACTAGACGATCTTAGTCAATATACTGTTGATCGATTATGATAAAGCTTTCTATACTGTCGATTGGACTTAAATAAACAAAACACTGAGTTACTTTGGCTTTTGAGAATCAATCAAACAATGGATACCTATACTCTTAAAAAAAAAAGAAACGCCATACGGATATGTTTGGCCATAAATGCAAAGTTAGCGGACCAAGAGGTGCAAAATGAAGAGGCTTAATGTGTTATAGTGTCAATGACAATTTTCCCGGATCTAAATGATCACAACAAGGAAATGCAAACCATTAGTCGGGAAACACGCACGAATCGAAAAAAAACCGCACCCAGTGCATTAGCAAAAGGGCCATTTCTCTTTTTTTGAAGAGTATACATTGTTATATGGAATACAATCAGGAGTTCTTGTGAATGGTTTTGGTTCCGCATTCTTTGACATATATAGAGGATGCCGTCAATGAGATCTGTTATCACTTGATCTATTTATGCTATGCGTGGAAATACTGACAAGAAATAACCAGCGAAAAAGGGAATTAGAATTTGTGACATTGAGTATCTTCTGGCACAATGCAGACGACACAACCTGCTCACTTGATGATTCTGAACCATGCCTCTACGCCGTTTTGCATGAATTGACATTCTTCGCGCGCTTTTTAGGTTTAAAAGTAAACACAGATAAGACAAAATTGATATTGATAGTTTCAAAGAAGAGATCGAAAATGAAACTCTGCCCGAAATGCGATCTAGGCTGGACAGAGGAACCTTTTGAGTTATTGGGCATACAAATCTGTCATGATCTGGATGATGTGGTGGATATTAACTAAGAAAACAGGTTCAAGCAATGTGAAACGCTAATGGCAATATGGTCAATAAGACAACTAACAACTTTTGGTTGATATACTATTATTAATCACTCAAAATGAAACGATCACGAATAATATTTGAAACTAAAGATGGAAGAATTAAATGCCCTAAAATAAGAGAAGTCGTACAATCTCGATGATAAGATGAGCCTTTACAACCCATTCTAAATAGTGTCTTTTATTCCTTTAAAATACCCCTATAATAAACGATCACAATATGTATCAGATCAATGGCCGGAAACAATATTTATATCCTTATAAAGTGGTACTGATTGACTCAGTGGAGCGAAACAGAAATATCAATCGGCATAGACATTGAAATTTAACTGTATTAAGAAGAACCAGATATATATTTTGTATTTATTATGAACACGACTTTAACAACATGTATTATATGGTATGAAACAAATAGATGTTAGATGAATGTATGCGGACAGAGAAAGCATTATAGCATACATATGTGGAGACGTCCTGTACCATTTCAATGCAGGACCCTGGTCTAAAACTCATTGCATTTCCCTTCGTCCACCCGTGTAGGCGTATGACCGACAGCTAATGCTATTAGCCAGAAGAATGCTCATGGTAAGAACAATCCTATTTCGCGCATGGCCTGTGTGCGAGCCATACCATTGACCGACATGAAAGAAATATGTAGAGCCGACAGCTCACGTAACACATGTTGGCAAGTGAGAGACATTAACGTTTGTGCGATGTCAGCTGAGCGCGGTTTGGTCTGGGCGCTTGTTGACTTCTCTCAGTGGATACAGTCATAACTTGATTTGTTTGTAAGAATAACGACTACACAGCATAACGACCGTATGTGTTGACGTAATGTGTACAAACCTGGAAGGTATTGACGGTGACTTGCAACTTGAATTTTAATCAATAATGAGCAGTTTGAGTTTCCCATTGGTCATGTTGGATCCCCGAAAACCTGGGTTCGATTCTGCACATGTACATTTGGCATTATGATCAAAGTTGTTATCGTCACTCGCAGTGCTACAGCTGGAATATTCTATATCAAAATTGTGGAGCATTATTCTTTACCTATCCGCACAAGATCTTGAAATTGAAATTGAATTAAAATTGAGTGGTAAAGTATAGAATCAGTGAATGAAATTGCAGTTAAAACTAATTCAATGCAAAACACATCGTCCAAACACAACAATGCTCTATCCAGAGAGTGATTGTAGAACATGCGTGCCGCTTAAGCAGCCGAAACTACACGTGCAAAAAGGTATATAAATGATAATGACGGCATTTCAGTCACCCACTCTGATAAAAACACCACAGAAATACCACTGACACCCGAACAACGCGGTTTGGATACAGATGGTAGCCAAACATCGGACAGTCGAAAGACAGGCAGACCCAGGGTAACTACGCCCAATGAAGACCGATGGTGGCGTACTTTGCATCTCCGGAATCGATCCATGACAGTTACGACATCAGCATACGCCTCAGGATATGTGGTTAGTCGACAGTGTCCAGGCGACTCTTGGCTCAAGAAATATAGGCTTACAGACCTTACAGTGGACAGTTATTGACAACACTACATCGTCGTCAGAGATCAGATGGGCCCGGACTCAACGTCGTTGGCAGCGACATGACTGGCAGAGGTTCGTCTTCACTGATGAAAGCCGCTTCTGTCTGTTTAGAGCTGATGGAAGATATTATGTTTACCGCCGAAGGGGAGAACTAACGGCATGTTGCGTTCAGTATGTCGTGCGGTATGGGGGTGTTATGGTGTGGGGAGGAATTTGTGGGCAGCAGAGAACACCACCGGTCATCGTTAACGGAAAATTGACAGGTCGGCGTTACATGGATGACATTCGTCGTCCGTTATCCTACCATTTCTACAACAGCTGTCACGTGGCGTCCTTTTTATCAGCATTGACAACGCCAGGCCCTATACAGCCCGAATCGCACAGAACGTCCTTCCAGCCAACACTGTCAACGTGTTGCCGTGGCCTGCACGCTTCCCAGACTTGTCCCCCATACAACACCTCTCGGATGTCATGCATCTTCGTGTTCGACAGCGACCTCATCCTTCAGCAAACCGACAAGAACTGATCCAGGCCCTTCAAGAAGAATTGCGACGTATCAAACGTGACGTCATCAGACAAAATGACTTTTCTGTGCGCGGGAGAGTGTTTGCGTGTCTTGTAGCAGGGTGTGGTCATACACGCTATTAATGTGACGTGTCTTTGAATTTTGAACGCGCGTATATGTGTCCTTTGTCCGTTGAACGCTTGCTATGGCCACCCCACCTCAATTCGGGCAATTTCCATGCCAATATCGGATGCTGTATGGCTGTCATTTTAAATGTTGATTTCGTTGAGATTTTGATCTTTTCAGTACATTTTACTTTATGCATCTACCTTTTGTGATTTTTAAACTACCGTGATTTAAAACTATTGTAAAGTTTTTATTGGCAGTCAATTTATGTAGCAATCCCTGTTTTATTTCAGAAGTTATTATTGAAACCTTTCATGTAACTAATAGTACTAAGTAAATATTTAACATACAGAAAGGCATGAATGTAATAGAGTCACACAAAAAATGTCTTGTATTTTCAAAAGTATTCAAAGAAACCATATTTGCAAAATTGGTGTTGCCTTCGTTATTGACCGAGTAAGTGGGCAAGTTTGATTTAACGCCACTTTTGGCCGTATTCCCGCCATCTCAGAGAGCGTCCGCTGAATAGTATTCAGTGACGCGTTACAAATCTTTACGATACGCGACAGTCCAGGGGTCCTATTGTGGGAAAATCACAACTTACGACCAGCGTGTCGCCTCATGTCTAGAGAATGCAACTCTGTTAGGCGAATGGCGCCTCGTGGCTCAAGGACGCAACTTTGTTCAACGAATTGCACATCCGTTGATCATTTGGCGATCAGTGATCTCTGGGTAATGCAAAAACAGTTTCTGTGATATGCAGGACACAAGCGTTACATTTGACTTAGTGTGACACATATTTAAAACAGTCAAGGTTGAAGAACCTTCATATAGTTAAGATATTTGATTTCTGTGTATAGACGAGCAAAACATGTTTTAAAACATCACTCAATCTCATTGTGTGGCAACAAATTAAATATTGGAAACGAATTCAATACTGAACAGTTCTAATCTGTCTGCAGTGATGTCAATACAGATGGTTTCGCTATCATAGATGACAAAAAAACCCAAAAAACAATGACATAACCAAAACCACCTCAGTGGTTGGCCAAGTAAATTCAAATGACAAAATACGTCATCAGAAATGTAGAAATATAGTGAAGACTGTCTGGTACTGTAATGGCAAAATGAGTTGGAATGCCGGGAATATAAAATACATTTTCAGGACTATGGGTGACGGATGATCGAGACGTAAATATAGTATTCTACTATTCTTAATGGAAAATATACTGTTACAAACGAACATTTCTTTCAGTAAGTTGGTTAGCTGTTTGTCTTCCGTTAATATAAAGATAATATCGATCACAAACATGCTCTAAAACAATGTGTTTGGGTAAAAATAGTTTTTCTTTGAAGGGAACAAACATCTTTTTCTCTTGTCTTAATTTAATTGTAGCTTCCCCCCTAAACACTCACTCACTCAATCACTCACTCACTCACTCACACAAAGTCTCAGCGGATCAATCCTTTTTGGAAGCTGTCCCTGTTTGAAATTTGAATTTTCAGGTAGATACAAAACTATAATATCGGGCTAACTCTTTTGGTAGAGAACCGTACAATGGACTGGGGAAATCATGCCTTATCGATATTGTTTTGTTGTCCTCTCATAGAATCAGAATGGTAATTAAATACAAAAACATAGGCCTGAAGAAGGAACCTGATTATACGATTGCCTAGCACTACACGTATACATATTTCGCAGTTGCTAATATAGATCTTTTCCTGAGTTTTGTTTCTCTGCAAAATCATCGGGGGAACACTAGGATTTATATACATGAGCAGTAATTAAGCAACACTTTATTCATCACCCTGATCACATCTTTTGGAATAACAGTGAGAGCTATAGAGCCCCATCCTGTTAAAAAACCTGAATGAACTGACCCAGACACTGCGCCATGAATGGCAGAGGATCCCAAATTTTGAAAATCAGACGTCCATCAGCAGCATGAGGCTACGCCTCGGAAATGTCATCAATAAGAGGGGCGGCTACTCCAGATACTGATCGCAGAATCAGTGGTGAAATAAATCAGCGGTTTTCACTGCATAGCGTGACAGTACCGTGATACCGATTCGTGTGGCTGATCTGATACATTTCAGTGTTGTCGAAATGAACGTTTTCAGACTTCTTTACATGACGCCAAAAATCGGTAACAGAATGCTAGTGATGGCTCAATTACTTGTGTGATTGTAGTGCAAGGCGTTCTGTTGGTCAGTTTAGCACTATTTTGTGTTTCAAACAATGAATCATATCAATATGTTTTAATGCAGCACATATCCGAAGGAGTGGGAGGTGCCTTTTTAATGCCCATGTGTATATACCTCATCTCACAGAAAGCCTGAGATCATAAATGCCAATGAACCAGCTGCTATCTTTACAGTTGTGTAAACACTACGTTCCTCAAAGCAGCCCTTTGAGCAGTCTTCGCGGGTGATTGAGAAACGTAGGGTACATAAGACCGTGATGTGTTGACGACGAATAGATTCTGAGTATTTATACAAACACGTTAAGGCACTATGATAATGTTTGGTAAGATCAAAATTTCCTTTCTCTTGATTGCATTGTCCCTTAAACCTTTTCATCCAAAAGTTCATCTTCTTGATCTTTCTTGAACGGAACACTTTCATGGTCAAACATGACGTCGCTGAGACATGTTTTCCCTGACGTTTTCGCCGTCGTGTCTTCCAGAGGAACCCCCATTGTCTCCCGCATGACCAGCGACAACAACGTGCACAGAAACATGCTGACTCCTACGATGACGAAAGGTGGCATCAAGTCATCGCCTCCCTGAAATAATTGTCTATAATTCAACCAGTTTGCTAAGCGAGTGAGTTGGGGGTTACAAGGTGCTTGAACAGTATTTGAGTAACAGGTAGTAGACGTTTAGCACCTTTTGGTATCTACTGACATCAGTTTTGTGCTTTCAAACCAATGGTCATTATTCATGTGAATCGAGGATTCTAACCCACGATCTGCGAATCCTGGCACAACCAAAGATAATCAAACTTGGCAGAAACAATTGACATGAGGATTATCGTATCCTTCATCATTATTAATTCATTTAAACAACTGACATTAAATATGAAGATTATCTTTCCTTCATCATTATTAATTCATTTAAACAACTGACATTAAATATGAAGATGATCGTATCCTTCATCATTATTAATTCATTTATACATGTACACTGTATGTTGGAGATCGAACCGGGCTTGAAGCGTCCAAAGCTAACACTTCTAAGACGTGATGACTTCACATGGTCGGTCTGTTATAAAATTCAATTAAGAATTTATGCGAAATTTGGGTAGGACACGTGCCATGTAGCATGGCACACGTGAACATATACTATAGTGGCTAGGAGTGAGTGAGTGAGTGAGTGAGTGAGTATGGTTTTACGCCGCTTTTAGCAATGTTCCAGCAATATCACGACGGGGACACACGAAATGGGTTTCACACATTGTACCCATGTCGGGTATCGAACCCAGGTCGTCGGCGTGACGAGCGAACGCTTTAACCACTAGGCTACCCGACCGCCTCTAGTGGCTAGGAATAGCCCAAATGATATCTAGAAAAACATCACAATTCCTTCTGTTTTCTTACTTACCATAATAAAAATATAGGGTGACACGATGCTCCCTACACGGGCAGCCGTATTAGCAGCACCATAACCCAGGTTCCTGGAATCAGGTTTGAGAACAAATACAAATACATTCAATTTTTATCTGACAAAAAGTAAATTGTGTTGCATGACTTTCTACGTAGCATTCGTAGGTTGACAATCTACCTCATAACAGTTTAACGATTTGCCACCTCAGCAACCCGTGGATGACGTTCAACCTGTAAACAATAGGGTGACCTCCAGCCTGATAACGCCAGGATCACCATCCTTCGGATGAAAGTTACAATATTTATTACTGAAGGTAGGTTTTCTACCTTATAACAGTAGAGTGTTTCTCCCTCATGTCAGCAATATCACTCGTAACCTAATAACGAACAGTAGGTGTACTTTCAACCTCATGACGATAATTATACTCCCCACCTGGTGACAAACAGTCGGAGTACTTTCTACCTGATGCCAGTAATGTCACTCGTAACCTAATAACAAACAAGGTGTACTTTCAACCTCATGACGATAATGTTACTCCCCACCTGGTGATAAACAGTCGGAGTACTTTCTACCTGATGCCAGTAATGTCACTCGTAACCTAATAACAAACAAGGTGTACTTTCTACCTCATGACGATAATGTTACTCCCCACCTGGTGACAAACAGTCGGATTACTTTCTACCTGATGCTGGTAATGTCACGCGTAACCTAATAACAAACAAGGTGTACTTTCTACCTGATGCCAGTAATGTCACTCGTAACCTAATAACAAACAAGGTGTACTTTCAACCTCATGACGATAATGTTACTCCCCACCTGGTGATAAACAGTCGGAGTACTTTCTACCTGATGGCAGTAGTGTCACTCTGATGACAAACAGAGGGGGCTTTCTATCTGATAACTCTCAGATCACTTCCTACCTGATAATTATTGGATCATTTCCTACTTGATAACATTCTAAGTGATAACATCAGGTGTACTTTCTGCTTGTTAACACTAGGGTGAAATGACAAATGGTAGGGTGGCTTTCTACCAGATGACATTTTGCTGACTTCTTACCTAATGACAGTAGGGTATGTTTCACTGGCAAAGACAAGATGGCAGGCCCATGCCGCTGCTATCCCGAGTCGACAGACCAGTGCAAGGACTGTTGTTATAGCTTCCCAATCAGCAGTCCCTGTAGTCACGACAGATGTATAAGTGCGAGACAGATAGACATTTCCGGATTGTTGCCGTATAACAGTACATGTCATGTAATCAAGGCGAAGGTTTGTTTGTTTGTATTTTGATTAAAGCCGCACTAAGCAAAATTCCAAAAGTAAACGTGATCATGTACATATACTTGTTTATCATAGAGATATTTTTAAAGTTAAAAAACCCAGATCCTATTTATTTTTGTAAGCCTTGGCCTTACATTTTATAGATTCAAAATATTAGAAATTCAGTGTCTTCCAAGCAAGGTTGGCTGTGGTTCCCCATTAGCGAAGGGAAGAAAAGATGAGCTATTGATTTTACTTTTATCCAAATATGCTTCAAATCGGCATCACATAATCCTGGTTTGTTTTGACAGGTCTGCGGTGTTGGAGTTTTAAAATAGATAAATCCATATCATCAAAATTATTATGAGTTATTTTATCGATAAATGTATATGGTCACAGTTTCTAAGGCACAGTCAAAAAGATGCAAAACTAATTTGACGATTCTTTACTTCACCTAGTGTAAACATACACGCATGTTTTACAAATCATGTAACTGCAGTCTATGAGGTGAAATGGGGTTTAACGTCGCGTCAAAGATTATTTCACTTATATAGCGACGTGCATGCACGTGTATGTGTGTGTGTGTGTGTGGCTGCTTGTACCAGTCCGGACTGATGCCGATTTATAGTGCTAGCACACTGAGATACCATGCCGCAGTTCTTGTTTTAGCCCCTTAATGCCGAGCGCCAGACAGGGTAACAACAAGTACCATCTTTTAACGTATTTCGGTATGCCGCGGCTGGGGATCGAACCACGGACCTTCCGCTCTCCGGGCGGACGCTCTACCATTAGACCACGGAGGCGGTCCTACAGCCTTTGAAACAGCACTGTTTTGATGGTAATTATTTTCGCAGTGAGTATAATGTGTTGTCATTGTATTGTGTTTGCTATCGTAACACCCAGCCGGACATTCGTGACGCACATACCAACGCTGGACACGATGACCACAGAAAAAGCGGCACATGCAGCCAAAGCAAAAAACATGAACGCTGTCCACCGTCTCCCAATTCTGAAAAGAATAAATAAAAAATAACAAAATAACAATAAATGGAACAAATATTTCAATTGCAGCAATGTTTTCATCTTAATTTACTGGAGCCGTTTTTCTCAATTAAACACTTCTTCGCCCAACAACCAATGTTATATTTAAACGTAACTATTAATTCCTTCTCATCACTAACAGTCTTCTCAGTAACACTCGAACTCTATAACTCCGACATCAATAAATTTACATAATAATTGTTTACTATGACGAAACACCCAGCTTTTGAAGCTTTTGAAAAATGTTGACTCAAAGTCGATTTCATTGGTGTTATATGGTTGCCAACCAAGCCTTTTCAAAATGATTGTCATCTTTGAAGTGACTACGGGTAACATTTTACATCATCATACTAACATGTTGCTGAGGAAGAAAACGACGAGCTTCCCAGGTATATCAATGACAGCCACAAGGAACATGTTGAGATACAGGTTGCCCGTCAGATGCCCAACACCGAATGAGATGCCGTAATAAACACAGGCTACATTCAACCTGAATCATAAATATGTGTACAATGAGTCCCGTGAATCCGTACGATGTAGTACCTCTTGATGTCGTCAAGATCACCCTCTAAACCTCCAGCGCTCGCATTTCGGTAAACCTACACTAATCCCAGGATCCATTCGTAAGGTTTTCGCGATTAAATTACCTGTCCTTGATTTTCATTAACATTAACCGACCAATCAAACGTCGACATAACGAAAAAGAAAGCAGGTGAGGGAGGTAACTTATATTGCCTATAAATAAAGCCACCGCTACTTTTGTAATGGACATGAAAAAATCATTTCATTAAAACAGTTTTGAGGGCTTTCGTGTTAGTCAGTTTTTCAATGTTTAATTTTTTCGCAAACTCGATCGTAGTAAATGGAACTCGCCGCCTTGTTAATATCGCTGACCCACCACTGTGTCTGGTGTGTAACTCTGATTGGACATAGCAGCGTAGCGTAGCCAATCAAACTAAATGAAATCAAGGGCGGGTAATTTGAGATTGCAAGAACAAGAGGAATGGATCCAGGTTTTAGTGTAGGTATACCTGAATGCGAGACCTGGAAATATAAAGGGTGCGTCGAGATTAACTTACTTCAGAATTAACGAATCACGCGTAAGTAGCTATATCTGTAACTTTTTTTGTTAAAACAGTTATCGACCAGACTTCACTATCATATCGAGGATTCACTGTAGTTCATTCAGGGGACAGCAATAGCCATTACGCTCACAAGTTTTGTGTCAGGGGCATGGGTCGCCAGTTGGAACAAATTATCTGTAGTGATGAAACTCGTAACAAACATGAAATACGACTTGATCGAATTGCTGTTGATAAAGCCTATGCTTGCTCAACGATAAGAACTTGCTGCTTGTAAGGATATAATGTACCCAGCTCACCAAATGATTTGTATTATAAAGGATTTCCAGCACAAACTCCATGGTCTGTAGAGGTCGAGGTAGGTATATTTTCGGTTGGACTCTCTCCCCCGCAGTTCCTCCTCAGCAACCTGTTTAAGGATGGCTGAGGTATTTGCTGGCTTCTTTGTGCCATTGTACCTCGCCATCTGGTCCACCACCTCCTCGGCCTCCTTCAGACGACCATGGGCTGCCAGCCACCGCATGCTCTCCGGGACAATACTGTGAACAGAGTGAGTGGTGAGTGAGTTTGGTTTACGGACCCTTTGAACAGTATATCAATATAACACAGTGTGATCGAGAGCTTTAGAAGCACTCAAATATTCTCCCTTTTTCTTGGAAGTGTACAGGTACGTCTTAGATACTTTTCAAATATCCTTTTTAGTTTGTTTTAAAATTTAAATTCAAGCCAATTGAAATTCGTCTCAGCACATTTGGAATTATTTTGTTAGACATGGTTTTACTTTTGGACCATCACGACATGTCAGCTTGATGCTGGAAGAAAGCCCTAAGTCATGCACGTCTTAGACGTTTACCACTTTGGTGAGCACAGGTATGGTGCCGACAAACCTTAAAATATATTCTGGCATGCCTAACTCGACATTGAGGTGACTTAGACGATTTGGCAACCCTTGCACAGTATATTGTTACAGATCATCATGCGCATGAAGAACGCACGTACATGTATATGATGCAATGCACCGTTTACTCACAACCACCCTAGCAGGAAGGGTACATGGATCATGGCTGTAATGATATGGAGATGGGACCAGTTGGGTCGCAGCCAACACGTCATAGCGAACAAAGCTGACCCCACGGGCCAGAAAGGCATAGTCCCTGTCATAGGCCGCCAGTATTTCCCTATGAACTCCATGTAATAGCTGAAGCTGACGACCAGCAGGGAACCGACCATGGCGCCGATGAAGAATCTGAAATGATTAAAATGTAGATAAGCAATGTATTATCACTCATTCAATAAGGAAATAATAAATTATTGTCATTCATTCAGTAATGTAATGTTAATCAAAAATGCAATTCATTCAATAAGGTATTGTCAATTATAATGTCAATCATTCAGTAAGGTAATGGTAATCATAATGTTAATTAGAATTTCATTCATTCAGTAAGTTAATGTTTATTAAAATGCAATTCGTTCAAAATGCAAATCGTTCAATAAAGTAGTATTAATTATAATATCATTCATAACGTAAGATTATGCTGTCAATAAGTAAAATGTCATTCGGTCAATCAGGTATTGCCAATTATAATGTCATTCATTCAGTAAGGTAATGGTAATTATAGTCTCATCCATTCAGTAACGTTATGTTACTCGTGTCATTAAGTCTGTAAGGTAGTGTTAAATAAAATGTCACCCAGTCTGCAGGTTAGTGATAATTATAATGCCTGGTACTCATAATACCAATTAGTCAGTGGGGTAACGTAAATTATAATGCTATATATTCAGTGAGGTGACGTTAATTGTAATGCTATTTATTCAGTAAGGTCACATTTCTCATAATGTCATTCATTCTGTAAGTTATGTTGATTACCAAGTGATTCATTCCGTAAGGTAAATGATAATTATACTGTGTATCGGCAGTGAAGTAAAGTAGTGCTAATTATGTCATTCATTCAGTAAGGTATTATAATCCAATATGCCATAACAAAAGGCAAAGTACGTGTATTGTACAGCATTTATAAGTAATAGGAGCATTGATTAACAAAGTAAGGTTTGTTTTCCTACACGATGTGGCGGGGTCGTTGATTTAGGAGATAAACATACTGTGTTTTCAATGTAGAGCTGGGTTACCTGTAGATTTAACCGCGCTTAATTGAATTTCGAACCGAACGCGCAGCGTGAGGTTTCAAATGTTAAATTTAGCGCGGATAAATCTACAGGTAACCCAGCTCTACATTGAAAACACAGTATGTTTATCTCCATTCTACCATGACTAAATAAAACGCGAACTCTTTGGTGTTAGCAAATATACTGAGTGAAGCGACATGGGTTGAGTCCAGTGTTTTGAGTGGGTTGTCGATCTGAAAATACGGAATCACCGAACAAAATATGGCGCTGTATAAACTCAAGCAGTTTGTTTACTCGAACATATGACAGGCATTTAAAGCATATAAGCACGGCAACGTGGTAAGCTAACATGAGGTGGGCATCCCTAAAGATAACAAAGCAAGCTTTGCAAGGCTTTCGCTCGACATCGCACGTCACCATGATGACGTCATATCGCTCATTGTGACGCAAAAAATATGACGTCACAGTCGTATATCGAAAAGCACCAAACTTCCAAGCTCTCTGTTGTCTCCAAAACGTAAATACATTCCCTTTGTAGATTTCTACCGTGTTTTCTGCACGAAATGTATTGCCACACGTCCTTTGAATATTGTAGTAACGCATCTGTGCATTTTGTAACCTGTAATTGTAGATGTAATTATATAAATATGACTACCGACAATGACTGAAAATAGTACTATTCTATGAATATTAGCTTCCGTGGTGATGCGGCCGTCAAACCAGCTGATTCATTCAGAGGGGGTTTATTGTGATTTAATACCCTCTGATTGACCAATCAGAATCGAGTAAATTCCAAATTCATTGTAGAATGATTCACTATTTCATTAACAATGTTATTCTTTATTATCTTTCATGCATACTTTTTCACTGCGTGCGTATATTTACATTGAACTTTGAACAAATAATTTCAAGATAGAAACCTACCTTAAAACAGTGAACATCTGCCACGACACGGAGAAGGCTGCCACCAAGTTAAACAGAATGTTGAGGAGGATACAGAGGTAGTATGTCTTCTTCCTCCCGATGGCGTCCCCTGACTGTCCTCCAAGAGCAGCCCCCAACACCACCCCTCCCATTTGTACAGCAGTGATAAACGGCTTTACGCCACTGTCCTCGCAAACTAGGTTCCACTGGAACAGATAATTATAGGTTAATGACTTAGTGTTAGGTGATTGCTAGGGTTTGGTTTATCTCAGCTGTGAACAGTATTTCAGTAATGTCGCATTGCGTCAACTTGATAGCAGGAAAGCCCGAAGTGAAGCAGGTGGTAGACGTGTAGCACTTTGGTGAAACCCACGAGTACGGGTATGGTGCTGGCAATCTAAGAAACAGAATCAGGACAGTGTTGGATTCCAACCAACGGTAATTGTTTTTTTACACGCCTTGGGGTGGCACGCCTCTGCACAAAAAAACTGTGGCGCCTTAGACGATTGGTGAGTGAGTAAGTTAAAGTTATACATCGCATGGGCAATATTGCAGCCATATCGCGATGTGAACAAATTAGTTACTTCTTTGTATCAAATACCTCTCGATAAAAGACAGTAAAACAGTAAGGTAAGTATCACTGTTTAGGTATAACAAACCGGATCAATATAAAACAAGTCATGTTTCAGTAGATTATTAAGTATTACTTAAAACCAGGCTATAGACCACTAGCAACTTAGACAATTGGGCAAACCATGACCTTAAGATAGTGTTCAGGGTATCTTGAGAAAGTTTAAGTTGATTTGTTAATAGTGAGTGAGTGAATGATGTTTAACATCTCACTTAGCAAACTGAGGCCTGTAAATAATCGAGTCTCAACCAGGTAACCCAGTGACGGAAACACTAATAGACTGCTTGATACAAGCTGGAACATCTTTGCCCGGGCTGTCAAAATCAACTTTAATCTGACAGATGTATCATCAAATGTCATTACGTCTGTAGAATGGTATTATATGTACCTATATATCACTTTTTGGTGTTTCAGATCGGGGTATTTAAAGCATACACGGTGCTGAAAGTGAAGCCTTGTCCCTCTTCGTTCTCAACATAGTCTCTCATCAGAAGTGTTTGGCTTGTGTTAGGCCCGACTTTGTCCGGGCTGTCAAAATCAACTTTAACCTCACAGATGTATCATCGACTGTGTTTACATTTATAGTCTGGTATTATATCAAAGGCCAACTTTTGTAAAATAATGTAAAATACACATGACACGAAAATAAACTATTCTCTCTCTTTTATTACACGTCAAGTGTGAGCTTGCTCCTGCTGACCGTCTCCCAATCGGAAGCCTCTTCCCACCCCCTGTAGCTAGCCTTGCTCCAAGGCTGTACTGAATGATAAGTCTGAAAACTCTGCACTGCGATATTTTGTTCCTTACTAAGAGTCAGCGAATGTGTCATAGTCGAATAAACTACATGGTGAATGTGTTTTAAACTTACATATAGTTTCTTAATCAATTCTTAGCAAAAGCGATTATTTAACTTACAGATTTCTTTCTTTTTAACTCAAACCATAATATCACAATTAAATATATGCAACAATTCTGTGTTCTCTATCAGATAAAACGATTTTCTGTTTAGTCCTGATTCAGTTTAATTATTTTGTATCAGTTCTGTAATTTGTCGTCGATACCTGTCCTCTCCGATTTGACTGGACAACCCTACGCGTTTTGTAGTGAATGCGGTCCCATATGATGTATGTACGTTTATTCTTTCTACGGTTATGGGTACATTATCGCTGTACATGTCTGTGGACGCCCGCATACATTTGTGTGAAAAACAACAAATACACTACAAGGGACATTTGAACCTCCATGCATGTTCGAAATTACACACATTTAAAGTGTGAAGAAAAATACAGCTTAAAACAATGTATACCTTCAGTGATAAAAGTGGAAATTTGTAATGAATAATTGTGATAGCATACATTGTCAGTTTGTCAATATCTATTGTGGTATATCGGGGACGAATCGAGGTTGGAATTGGTTTCTAGCAACCAAAACTCATAATTGAATGGATCGGATTTTTGGCGTGAATCGTTGCTCTCGGTATCAACAATTCTATTGTATGATCTGGACTCGATAATCAACTGATCGTCGTCTTATAACTGGAATATTGCTGTGTGTGAAGTTAAACAGCACACACACACACACACACACAGTTTCAAACTAGAGCGCTGTAGCCATGTCAAATAGAGGCCAGATTGCCCCCCCCCCCCCCCCCCCCCCCCCCCTCCCAACAAATCATACACTGATGAAGGAAAGTATTAAAAAATAATCCTTATAAATCCTCCCCGCAGATGGGACAGCGGGACAGCTGTATATTGACAACAAGTCAACAAGCCATTAGTAGCGACAGTGACGGGTCCCGGGTCTACACACAATTCATTTAATAAGAGAATCAATATTAACTCTTGACCCAAGGGTGACATCAGGCAAACACTCGATACATCCCCGTCAATAGTTCGAGATGAACAAAAGGTGGCATTGGTAAAACTCTCCACAGCTGGAAATCAGAACGTGTTCAATAAATTGAGGTACACGTTGTTGTGAGCAATTTGTAGACCGTGACCACTCAGCAGAAGTGACCAGGCAATAGGACTGGGGGTGTTTAGTTAAGACTTGACTTGTCCTGAACACGTCAGTGCCATAGTCTAAATGAACAGTTGTGGAAACTCAGACGAACGTGTTTTGTTATAGCCCCTCAACGCTTTTGTCACCAAACTCTAAGTGTGATAAACATGTATGTCGTTCAAACCAGCCCACTCACTTTTTCGAATATTCAGCAGTAAATGTATATTAACCAGCTGTGAGTTGAGATATCAGATTTTTACAAGCAGTCGAATAAGCAGGGTTAGGTTTTTGTTTACTTAATATTTTGTACGTACATGTATACAATGTACATTCGGTCTACATGTTTCAGTAAATTAAATACAAATTTGCTTTTGAAATTAAAACATGGAAAGACCAACCAGGAGGGGTATATAGGTAGATGTAATACCAGTCGATAGATCATAACACATTTGATGATACATATGTGAGTTTGAAGTTGAATTTGACAGGCCGGGCAAAGTCGGACCGAATACAAGCCAAACTGACATGGTAGTGTGTCAGAATAACCAGATGTCAGGGATTTTAAAGGCCGCTGCGTACTATACCGTGCCAAAAATAATCCTTTCATTATGTCGGGTTCAAAACCCATTCGCCGCCTCCATGGTGTGGATAGAACGGCTGCCCCGAGAGAGGAAGGTCCGGGGTACTAAAGGTGGCACTTGTTGTTACCCTGCCTTGTGCTTTTTGACAGGGTATAAAAAACAAGGTCTGGTCGGATCTGAATGGGGTATTCATGTTATGGTATCACAGTGTTCCCCGACTAAAAAACCGACATTCGTATAAGCTGACCTCACACACATGCATGCACGTCGCTATGTAAGTGTAGTACTGTTGTGTATGACGTTAAACCCCATTTCACGTCAGCGCGGGACCTTGACTTCCATTTTAAACGTGGATTAGTTGCATCACTGTGTGTCAGCTCAAATAGAAGAAAAACAAACCCGAACTGAAGCATGTCGTTGAAGTTCAACACGTTCGTGAAACCTATAGTAGCTTCAAGCACGGGTCTGGTGCTGACAAAACATAATCTGGAAGAAAATGGGATTCAAAACCATAGCCTACAGACGCAGCATTTAAATTCTCACTCATGTACCTCTACAAAACAAAACACATAGAGGGATACTGTAAGCCCATTATCAAGACGAAATTGATATAACATGGGTTTAAATTCCTTTTGTTACATTATTGTACTGCATAAGCGTTTATTTTTTTATTTTGCTCTATCTTTCCACACCGCGCAGGGGCATGCTCAAAGCGCTACACCACTATTACACCGGTCAATGGATCAGTGTGCACTCGATTTCATTCTCAGCTTCCTAGGGAGTATACAGTCATAATTAGTTACTTATGAAAATATTACCCTTGTCGGGACATCCGATGAAATGTGCATGTTAGTTGCCAAGTAAATACAAGAATCTTCTGAAATATAAATCCCAACTTGCATATTTTAAAAATCCTATTCGGTTTTTTTGAGTGAAAATTGTGCCTCAAACTGACAAGTGTATACACGATAACCATTTTATACTGTCAATATGATAAATTCACAACGGTCACAATTTCATCACTAAGGTAAACTGATATGTTCTGGATTCACACCTCAGGAAAAATACAATCCTGGTCATGGCCACGTTCATCTGTAACCATGACAACACAATGCCACCGTAATCTAATCCTTCCTGTGATCATAAAGTTCGATTAATTTTAACAAAGTTAGAGAAAATTGCCCGACGATAGAAATTGATACCTATCGCTCGTCATTACGAGGAGAGCTTGTTATACCGCTGCAGTAGACTATACGATATTACAGGTTCTTCACGACTCTCTCATTCACATCCCTTTTATGTCTCCGTAGAAAGGTTAAAAGGAGACTCTTATTTCAGGGGTTTCCTGACTCGGTGGTTTGTTTAATGTAGAAGTAATGATAATACGTTGCTGAGGGAAATGAGCGAGTTAAACACCGTTTGGATTGAGTGAGTATGTTTTTACGCCGCTTTTAGTAATATTCCAATATCACGGCGGGGGACACCAGAAATGGGTTTCACGAAACACCGTCTTGGCCATATTTTGGTTATATTAGGGCAGTGACCGGATCACAGATTAGAGCGGAGGGTGGTGGGGGTCGGGTGCTGGCGTATGTGTGTTTGTTGTGTGGGGTGGATATATATAGGGTGGATGGGTGAGTTCCACAATTCCACCCCCAACCCTACATCCCACCCTCTGTTTTCTAATTGAGCCCTTATTCTAACCTATGCTGGTCATGAGAGGCAGCTTATCACATCTTCTGGTGGGCAGGCTTGTTGATTTGGCGTTTCATCGTACCCCGACGACGTAGATCGTTTCTCACAATATCAGTCACTGGATTGTCTAGTCCAGAGTTGATCCTTTAAAGGCCGCTGTTATATAGATGGTTGGTTGGTTGGTTGGTTGTTTAACGCCACAGCAATATTCCAGCTATATGACGGTAAGTAAGTAATCGAGTCTGAATCCAGTGATTGACACCATGAGCATCGATCCACGCAATTGGGATCAATGACA